TCTCTTGGGCATTGGGCATCACAGTCTTGACACGACACCTCGCAGCCCTACGTTATTATTTATATATCCTACATATTGTCATATCCTACCATAGTAGCTGTATGTATGCAGATACACCTACGGTCCTACTTATTATTAATATATGTAAGGGGCAGCCCGTTTCATTCACAAAGTCTGAAGATCACTCGACCGCAATTGGGTCACGGTCGATATAAATAACTCTTTCGCTACTGACCTTCCCAAATCGTGACGCGGGGAGTGCAAGCGTCAGCGAATAGAAGTCATCCAACTACGGAATACCATCATCGAGCTGGACCATCTACTCCGACAAATCTCAAAAAGTCGAAATCAAGCATTGGCTAAGCCAATATTCTTGGATGCGGCTGATCGAAGGAGTAGACTACTATACTCAAAACATAGAACCTAAACTAGATAGTTAGTTAGGATGTCGATGTGGTATGTATGAGGAAGTATCTTTCTACCCTTTGCCCTCGGCATTTATTACTAAAGAAGGACGGTGGTTACGATATGTCATGATTCTGATGATTCGTCAACGAGTCGCGACTATACATACATACATAGTAGAGACCCTACCTACCTCGAATAGGGACTGGCGTTTCTCAATATTTATTTTCAATGTAAAAATACTTTGACACTGTACATCTTACACGATGCAGTATATCGCGAGAGCCCCATTAAGCTAGTAGCTATCAGGAGCAAGCGGTGCCGAGCTGAGCTGCGTACTAAAATCCTTCGTTGTTTAGACATCGTGTGCTTCTACCCTTACCTTATTCGTTCATAGCCTGACTATGTATTCCCAGTGGCCCAACAGCCTAAAACGTGAATAGAATAAGCGATAAATGCATGTGGATATAGCAGAACAGGCGACTATTGCTTTCGCCAGACTATTCTTCTCACCTAAACTTGGCTATATTTCTCTTCTGAGAATTCCCAAGTCTTCATCTTACTCATCTCAATATTCTCTGATTTATATGATACGTTTATGTCTTCCGATGAGACTTTTACGAAGCTTGGCTTAGATTCTACAGGTGAAGGCCGGCGGGACGAGGGGATGGTGATGGCATCAGCAACATCGCTAGTTCAATAGCGGCCAATGTCGGTGTATTTCCGCACCCCCCGGCAAGGTAGCCCTAAACATAGCCCGCCTCGCAATGTCACCTAAGCTGGAGTAGGAGCTGAATCCAAATTTAGGACCTACATATAAAAATACTGCATTCTTAAATAAACATATATATTTATATAAATTATATATATCATCACAAACCCCAGGTTTTGACGGTTGTTGATCATTTCCTTACAGCAACATCGTCTCTTCCTTTCTTCATATTGTTTATCTAGCATCTAGCAAGCTGAGTGTTTTATTTCTTTTTGAAAATGCGTCTAAACATCGCGGCAGCAGTTGCGCTGCTCGCCAACACCGCCGTAGCCGGCGTGGCTCTCCCGAGACAGGGTAACGGCCGTCAGGTCTTTGCTCACTACATGGTGGGTTTGACGAGCGGCCAGTCCCAGGACCAATGGCAGAAGGACATTACGGAAGCCAAGTCGGCAGGCATCGACGGCTTCGCCCTGAACATCGGGTCGGCCGACTCGTGGAACGGTGAGCAGTTGCAGTTGGCGTACGATACCGCCGCAGCCAACGGCTTTAGCCTGTTCCTGTCTTTCGACATGGCTGCTAGCTCCTGGAATACCGACCAGGTTATTTCGCTCGTCAACCAGTACAAGGATGCTGGTAGCCAGCTCAAGGTCAACGGAAAGCCATTTGTCTCGACTTTCGAAGGGCCTGACTGGTCTGACAACTGGGCCAATGTGCGTTCCTCTACGGGAGACATCTTCTGTAAGTGAATCCTAATATTCATTGGTGTGATGATTCTCTGCCGGTTTACATTGCTAATTTGAAATGGTACAGTGGTTCCCGACTGGTCTTCGCTAGGTGCCGCTGGCGTCGGAAGCAAGCTCGACAAGATTGATGGTGCTTGTAAGTGATCCCCCTCCCACTTACCGACTAGTAATTACTTTGGTAGCTTACACGGTGTAGTCAACTGGGGTGCGTGGCCGAACGCGAACGAGAACTCGATCAACACCGGCAACGACATTGCCTACAAGTCGTCCCTTCAGGGCAAGGCGTACATGATGGGTGTCAGCCCTTACTTCTATACTGGTATGAGTGGAAACTTATCTGGGCATGGACCCGACTCAGCTAAGGCTTGGGAACTAATTTAAACATAGACCTCCCCCAATACAACAAGAACTGGTACTCATCCAGCGACTCTCTTTGGTATGACCGTTGGGCGCAGGTTTTGGAGATCCAGCCAGAATACATCGAGATTATTACTTGTAAGCATATCGCCTCTGCCAGCAACCGAGGTTCCTTGGCAGGAGGCTAATTTGAATAGGGAACGACTACGGCGAGTCCAGCTACATCAACGACCCGATCGCGGCACAGATCGTGAGCGGTGCTGAGGGTTACATTAACGGCTTCGGACACTCAGCTTTCCGTTTCGTATTGCCTTACTTCATCAGCGCCTACAAGGCTGGTAACGCAGATGTTGCCCTGCCGTCTGAGGGAGCTGTCGCATGGTACCGAACCACGCCCGCCACTATCTGCGGCGATGGCGGTAAGGAATAATCATATTAACCGTTACTTGACGGCATGTGCTAACATTTATTCGTAGGTACCGTCTGGGGCCAGGGCGGAAGCGCTTCGGCGGCAGGCGGAACGCAGGATGTTATTTCGGTTATTGCGCTATCTAACTCTTCCAAGGACATCACCGTTTCCATCGGGGGCGCAAGCCAATCCGTGAGCCCATCGCGTTCCGTCGGCAAGGCTTATTTCTACCAAGTTCCCTTCGATGGAAAGACCGGTGCCGTTACCGTTACCATCGACGGCAAATCAACGACGGGTCCCGAAATCTCGAACAGCTGTCCCGCTACAGGCCATGTAAGTCCCTTTAGTTAAACCGAAGTCATCTGAACGTGCTTAACTAACAATCGAATAGGTCAACTTCAACTCCGTCGCAATTCAACTATAAGCGTTTCGGGTTGAAAGTGTACCGGCGCGAGCTTACGGCATTTTATCTGCATTAGATTTCGTGATATTCTCTTCTTGTTTTTTGGAAAAGTTCCTTTTCGAGCCCGTCTTGACGAGCAATTGTATATATTCTTTTCAGCATGTATATCAGTAGTGATACAAGTCCTTAGTCCGGTTTTTTAATGCCGACTTGGAATTTTTCTGCCCATTCCGTAAACTCGTCTCTCTGGTCGTCCCACGGCTTCATTAACATTTCTGACGCGGCAAATGCATCAAAGAAGCAAGAATCCATTGTGCGATCTATAGAGTTGCGATCTAACTCGTAAAAGGCACAAGCAACCTCGCCAAATCGATGCGGTAGCCTTTTTAATACGGGGAATACCTCATCAAGACGTTTTGTGACTGATAATTGCGTCGTCGTCGTCGTGGGTAGTGGTGGAATTAATTTTAGCCGCCTCTTAATGATAGCCGTATAGAGCAAAGTGGTCAAGCGTAGTCGCTTCAAGCAAGATTCAAGCCGGTCCCGGATTTTGTCTGGGTCGCCCCTTGGAATGTGGCGGGGATTCATAAGATCGTCGAGCATCTCCTGTGTTGAGATGTGTGTGTTTTGCATTTGGTCTGTGACGCTGTTGACTCCGCCCTCTTCCGCTTCGTCGGCATCACTATCGTCATCGTCGTCTTCATCAACCTCTTCACTATATTCCTTGAGCTCCTCGAGGATATCCTTTAGCGTATCCCTATACTCTTCAACCTTTTTGATAAGTAATCCTGCAATTCCTAACTTCTTCAGCAAAATTACATCGTCGCAAGCAGCCCAGATGACACCTGTGGCGGCCAAACTGCCTCTGTCCCCTTTAGTCCCGTTTTTCTGTGCACCAGCCAGAATCTTCCCGTCTAGAGGGATGATCCCTATAAGATTCTTTAGCTCCTTCAGTACACGATAGCATCGCCATGCGAGATCTTGGCGGGCTACTAAGGTGTACTTGTCGGCATCGCAAACCTGAACGGCAGAAGCCAGAGCTGGTATCGGACCTGCGACTAGCTCGCGGAGGACCTTGGATATAGCGGAGGGTGTGAACGGCTCATTTATAATGAGAAGAGATAATTTGGTTGTATGGGCCTTTATTAGAGTCGCCGAGTCGTGGGCTAAGGATAGAGGATCGATTGACTCGGGAGTCGACGACAACGATGACGATGACGGGGTAGTTGTTGTTGTTGTTGTTGAAGACACTTCGTTTAAGGCTATCGAATGGAGGAGGGCTTCAAGTTGAGATATGAGGCTTGTTGTAGATTGGACTATAGATTTTAAAGCCTCAAGTGCATCGGCGGCTATACTGTTTGCTGCCATTGTCCCTCGAATTTGTTTGTTGGTCAAGATGTAAATGTTAATTAAATTCTCGATTTTTTTTCTTCTTAACCTTGAGCGCGACTGCGGGACAAATAAAAAGGCGGGGTTCCATGCATTAGGTACGAAGTAGTTTAGGTAGCTTTAATACATTTGCCAGCTGACTTCCAGTCTCACAGCTGGCAGTATCTTGTATCTTGTATCTTGTACATGTATCTATCAACGATTCCGCAAGGTACACGATCTCCTAAATGTACGACCTCTCCCCCTTTAAATTATTAATTCCGAAAATATATCTTATATAATGCTGGATCTCTCTTCAAGGACTACAATGTTAGTCAAGCTTTCTACATACTACTTGAGGCAAACCTAAGACTGAACCTTACGATTTACATCGGCTCTACTATTTGGCCAATCTGAATGTCCTCTATTTATGTCAACTTCGTATTTCTGGAAGTACAAATTTATGCCATGAACTTAATACTTAAAGGTTAATGTGCTTGAGGAATATGATACGACATGCCTAGCATTGACAAATAGCAGGTCGATTATGTATGACGAATCTTTACGTCGTCTTTATCTCCAAGTGCTTGAATCATCATGGGCGCTCAGTCAGCACCTGATTGCGCAGAATTGACATAGATATAAGATATTGCAGATATTTTCTTTTTTACTTACAATCTTAAACAATCAAGGTATTTATCTTATTTACTACTTCTACATATATCGTGATTTCCTTTCCTTGGTTTGCCTATAACCTATACGGCTGTGAATTATTCTCTAAAATGCAGCCTGAAGATATCCCGCAGCGTGAGGCTGTTCACAATTTTCAGGTCAGTAGACAGATAGCTAGTTGTAATAAATATTTCCCAACTAAAACTTGCTAGCCTAGCGATGAGTGGAAGCTCGAGCAGGGCCTAGTAGGAGTAGAGTTGCAAATGCTTGACCAAACGAAACATAACGAGGTAAACGGCGATGTTACAGGTTGGGAACGAGCGATCCAGCCAATTACGAAAAAGTTCGATAGTAAACTAGCCGTCGACGAATTGGTGGGCTGGGATGGGTAAGTTTACAGTCCTTCCAAATCTGGACAATAAAGTTGTTCTGACCACATAAGCTATGTTGAATGGGAAGACTACCCGGACAAGAAGCGCAGGGCGCATGAGATCCTCGTCTCTCAAACTTTCCCTCCGCCACCCGAATTCCAGTTGGCACCCATTCCTAGTACCAATCCAGTTCTTGAAGGCAAGTTCTGCTCTATCCTCATATACTCTTATCACGCTAATACGCTAGTATTCTTCGTCCGAGTAGGAATCCGCTGGAAACTATGGCATCGAGCCATTGGCGGCCGTCTAGCAGTAGTTCCAGAAGAATCCTGGGCTATCGTGCTAAAAGAAAAGTCACCGGATATGCTGCATCTCCTCCAGTTCCCATACAATGGCGAACCACCTAAAAAGCTCGTAACCGCCCAGCCGGTGACACCGAATCCTCTGCACTTTATCCGCAATCACGGTGGCATCCCGTCCATCGATCCGTCTGCGTGGTTCCTCCGTCTGGACGGCCTGGTAAAGACACCCCAGAAGTTAACGCTGTCGGACCTTCAGGACGAGAGCCGGTTTCCACGCATGGAGAGGTTGGTAACTATTCAATGCAGCGGTACACGGCGCATCGAGCAGATAAGCTTGTACGCTGGCGAAGGAGACGAAATGATCAATGCCCCTTGGGCGGAGGGAGCCATCGGAACAGCAAAATACGTGGGAGTGTCACTTAAGAAGGTAATAAAGTATTGCGGCGGGCTTGAAGATGGTGCGAAGCATCTGGAGCTCGTTGGTGCCGATACGTACTTCAAAACGAACGAGGTCATGAACTACGCCATCAGCGTGCCTTATTCCAAGGTTAAATCTCATGAGGTTATGCTCGTCTGGGAAATGAATGGGGAACCTCTTCCCAAGATCCACGGCGCACCGGTTAGAGCGGTAGTGATGGGCTATATAGGTGCTAGGAGTGTCAAGTGGCTATATCGCATAACCGCAATACCGGAACCGACGAGAGCCCCGGTGCAGAGCAGAGAATACCTATACTTCAACCAACAAGTGGGCAAGCATAACCAACGTTGGACTGATGGAATTCAGATACAAGAAATGCCTGTGAGCAGCGCTATCATGTCTCCTTGGAATAAGCAGGTCGTACTACACGAGGGGAAAATCGAAGTTAAAGGATGGGCGTACTCAGGGGGTGGCCGTTGGCCCGAGAGAGTCGAGGTCAGCGCCGACGGTGGATTCTCGTGGTATGCCGTACCGACAGAAAATCTAAGCCCCAAGCATAAATTCGCTTGGCGCATCTGGCACACGTGGTTGCCTTGCGATGTTGAGGGATGGATAGAGATTGTAGTACGGTGCTGGGATAACAGCCTCAACACTCAACCGACCGAGGTTAGGAACACATGGAATTGGGGTCTGCATGTGACGAGCAGCGCTCATCGGATCAAAGTATACAGCGTGAACAATACCAAGGAAAAGACCAGAGAGAGGCTGGGAGAATTTGAAAGACGAGGCATATCGTTCGTACCTATTACACGACCGACCGAGTTTCCCTATATGACTTGGGAGGAGTATGAGGAGTATTTTAGGAAGAATGGACCTAGAGATGTGGACGAGTAGCGTGATTCTATTGCTAGTAGGTGTTTGATACATGAATATGAGTATAGGTCTGATATGGTGGTGAACTTATATATCGTTACTTAAAGAATGACCTTGAGCCCTGGTAATATAATTGCTGCATAGGTAAATGGTGGACACATGACGTTGGAATGAAAGCTTGTGATTAGCTGTCGATAAGGAGGCTCGTCAGGCGGGATGGGTAACCGAAGAGTCTTGTTGAAGAGCTTGGCACCGGCAATTCTTATTAGAATGGCATCTAGATAGACGGGACTTATCCTAGGATACCGGCAGCACACGTGCGTATAGTTAAGTGAAAGGGTATTGACTTATAGTTTCACACACGTGGCGGTTGTTAAATTGTAAATTGAAAATTGTAACGATGCTATCTAATATGTAACTTGACATAGTAGAAGAGGTTAAAAGGGGAAAGGGACGAGCCTTATGCATGTGCCTTGAAGCTTGTGTGGTTAATTCCGAGTTTGGCTTAATCTGTATCTTTTGATTCGATTATCGAGACAATTGAACTCGGCACTATGTGATTTTTCGCGGGGGGTTTTGCAGGTGGGTCAGCAAGACGTAGGTACAACGCGGCATATGTGGGGCCGCTTAATGATACATACATGTAAGTACATTCAGGTACCAACTGTACCTAAAGTACCGAGGAAAGTGCGGTACCTCCTAACCTGTAGGTACATGTATAGTAAAGTACGAAATACATTGACAACAATCGCGCACCCCCCACCTCCAAACATTACTTCATCATAATCCATTTCCAAGTTCGCCTTTCATTCAGTTACCTACCCTCGGAGTCGGATCATTTATTCTCTTACCTTTTAGTTGGCTAGGACGGCGTAGTGGAAAGCAGGTCTAGCGTGACTATTTTTCAATGCTCAGTTCAAGATATAATCTAACACTTTTGATCATTCGTTTTTCTTTTCCTTTTCCTGCGAGGGAATAAAGAGGCGGCCGAAACCGAAGCCGTCATTCGCTCCCCAGCTTAGACAATCTCACAAATCTTCCGAAGTCCAGACTCCAGAGTCCCAGAGTCCCAGAGTTCCAGCTCTTAGCCAGCGCGTCACACGACAGTCATTTCCGAGACTTTAAACCTAGCGATACCGACTTGTCCTAAGGTCTAAGGTCTTGGTCGACGTCTCCAAGCCAAGCTGAAAAGGTAAACCAGTTCAGTTCAGTCCAGCCCAGTCCAGCCAACCCTGTGCCTAGAATATATCCTACAATACACACCCGCGCATTCATCTATACACATTCCTGGGGTCCCCGTCCGATATCGACGCCTATTTACCATTCGTTCGATATTCAGCCATTGTTTGCTACACCAACGCATGGAGTCGGATTAGTTGTTGAACCCTGGCTCAGTGGCGCATCAAGTCTTTGGTATACTCGAACGGTTTCCTAGTCAATGTTACCGGATACTCTCGAAATCATGCGTTGCTAGTACTACCACTGACGACATTCACCGTTGGCTTGGAAGTAGGCTGACTTTCGTCCTGGCGTATGTATCTGTGATAGCCGTCAGCCCACAGACCAGCTACCTGCCTGTCTCTTTCTACTTACCATATTTTATCTCTAGAGCCACATCCTAACAGTTCGAATAGTATATGATAAATCCATCCTACTTATTTGCAATCATTAATTGCAATATTAATATACGGACGAAATTTCGCGGGTTTCCGACTTCCTCATTAGTACAATACTCAACATCCTGCATGCCGATAAACTAAGCCCCCGCTGGTCATTTGTGGCCGTAGTCCCTACGCCCCTCTGTCGATCCCCATCGTGCGAAGATCATCGGACCATATATTTACACACATTACATCGTCAGTCGAGGGATTCCGGCGCATCTATAAAAAAAAGATGGGCAATACACATACGAAAGATGGGAGGGGTGGCACTCGTATAGGAGCTCATGGGACCCGTGGGGATCCTGGTGGAAGTTCCAGCGGTGCCGGCTACCATGGAGAGCTCCCTGATCGATCGAGACGTGCTAGTCGACCAGACTTGAGCGGCATAGGCCTGTCCTTCGGTGGCTCGTCGAGCTCGCGTCAGCAAGACGCCCCCTTTGAACATCGAGAGACAAAGCAGGAGAAGGAAGCTCGGAGGTTAGAGCGAGAACGAGCTGTCCGGATCAAGGAGCGCGAGCGTAGTATGAAAGAGGAAAACGTAGACGGGGGCTACCTGGTGACAATGGGTGTATACACCTCCTCTGAGGACTTTAGCAAACCCGTAGTACGCCAATTACAGGTGAGCGATATGTTATTCCTGCCCACCGGCCCGGGTCAATTGCCAGTATCCAGCTAATCTAATGCCGAATGTGACAGATCGAGAGGAAGATAGCGCCGTTTTGGCGTGGACTGGATGATTTTAACGAGAACTGGGCCGAACATCAGATAATCGCCGCGGCTCGCGGTCTCGAGATCCCTCCCGCCGACGAAGTCCCCGAGCACCTCGTCCCGCAGCCTAGGTCAGCAGATTCCCCCGGTACTTCGACGCAGAACCTTACCGTTCCGATGGGCCCTCGAACCCTTTCAATTTCCTCTGACAACCCTGGTTCAAACCCGGGCTCAGCTTTGCCTTCTCCTACATCCCCCAGTATTCCGAGAACCAACTCGCCCTTCAAACCTCATAAAAAATCTCTGGCAGCAGCTCTTAACATATCTCGAAATAGTTCACATACGGATATTATTACACCACGCGAGATTAACTTACCCCACGACCCATTCGTCAACGGTCAGCCCCTAGAGGTCTTTCTATACAAGGAGGGAATTGAGTGCCCCCTCTGCCTTATGTACTATCCCCCGTACCTCAATCGTACTCGCTGCTGCTGCCAAATTATTTGCAGCGAATGTTTCGTTCAGATCAAACGTCCTGATCCGCATCTTCCCGAACACCACGCCGACGAGGAAGGAAGTCAGGCGCCGCCTATCCCCGAGGAGCACGAAGGCGAGCTTATTATGGAGCCGGCCAGATGTCCGTACTGTACCCAGACGGAGTTTGGCGTGACATATGAGCCTCCCCCTTTCCGCCGCGGATTAACGTATGCATTCAATAATACTACACTGGGTGCTATGAGCACGGCTATGTCGTCTTCGAGTTCTCTCAATTCAAGCCTTTCGCCACCGGTGACTACATCTGCTAATGCCAGCCGCCGGCGAGCGCAGAGTGTTTCTGCCAACGCGCCGGGAGTTATCACTACTGACCGTATTCGGCCCGACTGGTCTACGAAACTAGCTGCGGCTCGTGCGCAACAGCGTCGGAGGGCAGCAGCCGCAGATGCTCTACATCATGCTGCTTTTGTAATGGGAAATCAAGAACCTCGTACGATCTTTGGTCGGTCATCTCGCTTTAGCCGTAGAAACGCAGGGAACAACCGGGGAAACGAGAGTCCAGGCAATAGTTCCAATCTCCAACCAAACGATGGCGGGGCTGATGCTCCCTCGGGTCCTGAACCAGGGCCTCGCGTTCTCTCAAGCCGGGCTGCCCCGAACCGGGAACGGATAGATGCCGCACACCTCGAAAACCTAATGATGGCGGAGGCGATAAGGTTAAGCCTAGCGGACGAGGAGGAGCGACGAAAGAAAGCCGATAAAGAAGCCCTTAAAGAGGCAAAAAAGCGAGAGAAGGAGGAACGCAAGTCTGCGAAAAAGAAGGGAGACGTGTACGGAGGCGGTGGTAGTAGTGCGAGCGCGAGCTCTCTTAGTCTGGGATTCGGGCGGAAGCGAGGTAATAGTGCTACCAGTAACTTGCGCACGGAAACCAGCGTAGCTGCTCAAGCTAATAGCGGAGCTACGAGCCCGGTCTTCAACCCCGGTTCGACTTCGCCATCGAACAGCAAAGGAAAAGCAGTCGATCGTAGTGAAAATGAAGATGGCCAATCAAGCGGTTCTGGTGTCGCGTCTCTACCGATTTCCGTTCCTTCGCAGCCTTCCCGAGGATCGTCTCATCTTCGTCAGATGAGCAACGCCAGCTCTGTCAGCTCTAGTGGGGTTGAAAGTACACCGGCTAGTTATACAGGTATACATCTCAATGCCGACGGCGAAGATCCCCGATCCAGCGGCCTTAGCTTGGCTACGCGCAGTGAGGAGGGTGACAACGCGAACTCGGAACCCATGTTTAACTTTAGAAGCTTAGCGGAGATGGTTGGCGTTCCCCTAGACGGCGAGGCCCAATCACCCGGAAGCGAAGAAGCGAGCCCGGGAAGTAAATCAGCAGAGGCCGAAGAAGCTCACGGCGAACATATAGAACATATCGCAAATCATCCGGTCAAGAAAGAAAGTTTACCCAAACTTGATACTCGCCAAAGCAACCAGAACGCGGAAGAAGAGAAGGGAAAAACTACTACTCCGCCGCAACTGATGATCACACCCGAGACCCCAGCGCCTACTGGCGATGACGATGGGGATTCTAAGGAAATCGGACACGTCAGCATGGCAGATAAGCCGCAAGAAGTCGCACAATAGACATTTTTTTCGCCACCATTTAATTCTCGCTGCAGAGGCGGTTTCCGGTCAGGGTGATAAATGGGACTGAAGATCATGGATATTTGCATTAACGGGGAGGCAGGCACTGTTGACTTTCTCTAGTTCGGAGTTGAGGATTGTATACATAGATGGTTGGCATTCACAAGCGATATAAGTTAATTCCCCTGAACCAGATCGATGAAGTATAAGGGGGCTTAATCCCTCGGTTGTAGTAAAGATGTCTCAGCCCAATTCTGTTTTCTCCTATGTACTAAGCCTCGTCGCAAATGATAGTTGACATCGCCATAGCATCCAGTGGTGTACCTGGCTATACTAACCTAGAAGAGCTAACTTCCAGTTAAGAAGTAAATAGAATCACTCGTAAATAGAACATGTTGAACCTTTACGCAGGTAGCTAGTCAAGTGTCTACCTAGCTTTGTGTGTAATAGTAGGTACCCAAGGTATTCAACATATGAAGGTACCTGGGTAGGCAGGTAGGCAATAGACTTATAGCTTAGTGACATTCATTTGGTGGGATATATCCAGGAGCGAGAAAGCTAGATGTTAAGGCATGATGCCTCGTCCGGATTATTCCATTGACCCCGAGTCAAGTGTTGAGAGTAGGGATTGCGAAGATCATAACGCCTCGACGGATGTAGAATCCCAATCATGATACATGTTTACGGCGCTGTTAGAGAGAGATAACATATTAACCCCGCGCGAATTTCCGTGCCGAAAGATTTTCGTGCATTATGATACGTAGGTATATTTGTATGGTTACCTCCCTAAATAGCGGATAACGGTAACTCCTCAATGTTCACACTCACATTAGATTTGGCGGCATACTTGACAATTATCCCGTCGTTTGGCGTGACGCCAATATCAGCAGGCTTTCTCGCATTGACGAACCCAGGTTCAGGACTAGTCCAGCTGTAGTCCTTCCACTGGCCCAGGACTGCCCACATCTTTTCTACTACCCCTTGGATCTTCTGACGGCGATCTAAGCTCCATTGCCTTCGTTTCAACTGCTCAATATCAGAAGTCTCCGGTTCGAGACCCTCTACTACGCTCTGGAATACGCGGCATGTTTCTTCTAGCTCAGGGATGCTCGAGATGCCCATGACGCTTACGCCGACCCGGTCCCCGGCCGATAGCTTTCGTATGCGGCCACCTCTAGATGCGCCGATTCTTGACCAGTTGTCCAATGCCCACCGGATAGCGACAACCTCCAACTTCTCATCCGCATCTGCCGCGATAGATACCAAATCCTGACATGCTTTTCTCAACCCCTCCGGACTCGGATGCCACGAGGCTAAGGGACCGGTAGCTGCGCCTCTCGTAGTTAGCAGGCCCATATTAAGCATGCTAGCATTGAGGACGACGTCGACTCCCGCACTCTCAAACCGAGCCATAGCGGAAGTACCCAATGTCGTGTTCTGTATGGTATAATGGCCATAGCTCAGTACAGCATCGAGTGGCTCTCCCGTCTCAAGGAGAATCATCTCAGCGAGGGCGCACAGCTTGTCGACGGGGTAGCCGCTGATTCCAACGTAGCGAATGATTCCCTCGGCGCGTAGGCGACGCAGCTCGCACACGGCGGCTAGCACCTCGGGGGGTGAGACGAACTCGACATCATGCATATAAACCAAGTCTAGATAGTTGGTATGCAGGCGCTCTAGACTTCGCAGCACCGAGTACCGGACCCAGGCGGGGCTATAGTCGAAGACGTCAGAGGCGATGCGGCCGGCTTTAGTAACGAGGAAGTAGGAGGAGCGAGGATATGTCGTGGCGACGGAGGGATGGGCTAGGGCATCACCCAAGATTAACTCCGATGGCCCATAGTATGGTGACGTATCGAAAGCGCGGACGCCGAGGTCGAGCGCACGCGACACAATAGAAATAGCTGGTAGATCGTAGGGGTTGGCAACATATTGTGTGTTGAAGGTAGCGGTGCCTAGGATTAGAGGAGGGATCGAATCGTGGAGGGGCCGGCGCGGCGGGTTGGAGTCGGGGGGAAGGGAACCCATTATGAAGAATGCGTTTTCTTCTTCTATATCTCTACCTGTCTAGAGTAGGTAATATAATAAACACAGTATACTGACAATGAGGCTAAGCAGGCGAAGAACGAGAGGTAGGAGTTGGTAACGGATGAAAATGAAGGGGTATTAGATATTAAGGGGGGACTATACTAGAGTCTAGTTGGTATCTCAAGATTAGAAATATAATCGAGGGATTTTCAGGGTCCCGGCAGGTGAAAGTAGGAAAGTGGGGGATGAACTAGACTAGTTAACTATACTATATTATAAACTAGTGCAAGAGGTAAGATCGATCTAGATGAGAAAAGGCAAGAGAAAAGGCAAGAGGTTGACTTGGTTGTTTTTGGTAGTTGTACGTGTAATCCTATCGATCATCATCATCATCATCATCATCTTGGTTGTCTTAAAAATGAAAACCTCCTAAAAGCCATCCTACGCAAGAGATACATTTACGAACGAGACCGGCTGGAAGCCAAGATGGAATTTTGCTTATTCTGCAAGCGGTAAAGCGGTCCAAGATGCATATACACTTACAAATGTATAGATGTAATACCGACTTCAATGTCTCACATGAAATCGATATACATGTACCGATCAAAGCCGATCCGATAGGAAAGAAGATATCGGAAAATCTGGAATCTCGAATGATATCTAGTTAATGCAAGATAAGAGAAGAGAATCACGTCATCCAGTTTAAATCTTGCCCTATCAATCATTTTTCTCGGTCTCCCCCTTACCTCGCCTTAATCTGCATGCGGTTAACCATGTGGCGCCGCTACTGTGCTACTGCGCTACTGTACTGCGCTACTGCGGTACCTACCGAGACGAGAACGGTTCGAGCGCAGCCACTTTTTGGAGCTAGAGATAATCATGTGATTATGCATCTCTTAGGAGATAGGGGATAAAACGAAATATCCATCCAGAGCTGTCTGTTTGTAGAAATCCTACTTACCTAGACAAGAGAAAGCCTATGGAGACCGAGAAACGAAATGTATAAGTCTGCAATGCGTATTTATTATTATTATTATTATAAAAGTGACAAAGTAAATCAGACTTATACAAATACTTATGACTCAGGATATTTGTATGTTAAAACTCCTAAAAGCTTACCTTCAATGCAGATAAGTTCTTATACTCTTATAAACAAAGCTTCCCATAACTAAACCATACCTTGTCACATGTTCAAGTTGTTTAGGACTAAACTTCAGCCCTCCGGGGATCCTCTGCGGCGATCGTCTCTACTCTATAAGTTAAAATCATTGGAATGCCGGACTAACTTGCTGGGATAGCCTCGGGTCAATAGACGGCGGCATGGCAGATCGGCAGCATGAACCTTACCTTTCTCGGTCAGAATGTTTGGTATAAGAAGACTCATCTCGGCAAATTGGCGCGATGCATATGCGCCGTGGCTCGTTTGACCGCCTCAACCTAGTACTCGGCGGTACTCACTGCATCCACTAGGTTCTTCGTGAATTTACCTAGACGATACCTTCACGTAGAATTTGAACTTGTTTTTTGATCGTGTTCGACTAGGTTCCGCTTTCAGCCCTTCCTATATGGGATACGAGTTACTTAACATACTATTACCAGCACCGGTAGCGTTTACCGGTCTCCGATGGGCTTAGATATGCTACAGGTATCGTCATATAACATGATGGAGTTATAATGTTGAGTGTCCATAATACTATAACGCTGCTAGTCCAGAACGCGACTGAGTGTCAAGACTAGACCTCGCGATCTCACAGTTTGAGCTCTAAAACTATCTGTTGAGGGGCGCCACTTAGATGCCTACAGATATAGAGTCGTCCTATTATTATTATTTTGACATTATATTCCTTAATTAACATTTTGTCGTTTATAATACCAATTAGTTATAGGGAATGGAGGGATGAAGTTTGTTATTGACCTACCGTAGACCTGGTTGCATATCAGGGATATACAAGGTCTCCGTCTACTCTATTAGGTAGAACTAGGATCATAACGTATAATTATCTGCTGTCGTAGTGACTTTATGTAAATTTCGATATAAATTTAATAACCCTTGGTTTAAACTACGCCCATAGCTCTCTACCCCTTCGATCGGTTTCAGCATTGACCTAGCATCATTTTTATGATTATTCCTGATGTCATGCTGCGGCAGTATGAGGCGAAGGAGATCAGTCATTTTATATGCTTATTATTTACGTATCTAGGACACATCGCGGATGCCTTTGCTATGCTATTCCAGGCTAAATTGCTGACTTGGAGTAACCCAGGTTAATACGTTGATTTCCATGTGGGGACTTAGGAATATAGGACATATTCGATAAAGACATGCCTGTTTTGATTCGACAATTGGGGAAGATCGTCTGAACTCTTTCGCGAATAATTCATTAGCAGAAATTCTGAGCGGAACGTAGTGGTAAAGTAAAACCATTTAAAGATTCAGGCTAATGTCGTCTCCGGGAATCCTTGCCAGGCGTCCGAAAGACCCAATCAGGTCGAGGGTAAAACTAATTCGTTCTCCTTATGACATAGATATGCAGGGACAAACGCCTCTTGGCCTCTTCTCGCTACTACGTGGGCACATGCTATTATAAGACTACAACTGTGTCTTTTCCCAACTCGGGCTATTGTAACTAGGCGACCCCACGCGGAGTGAAGAATTCCATTCCCGAAGTTTGATGGCAGAGTGGTGAAGTCTGCGGTATACAATATACCACATTTATAAAACATGTCCTTGGCGCTGAAGGTGGTTCCGGTTCTGGCCAATCTGCCATTTATGCCACGTTAGCTTCAGCCGCGCTAAGAGGCCTTGACCCTTTCAAGCGAATGTAGCAAGGGGACATGATGAACCCCCCTGATCTTACATCATGAAGAGCATCCGGCGTGGTACCCTATATGGTACCTTGGTATGCAGAGGTACTATATTGGCCTACCCGTATTGGCCGTTCCGGAGACAGCCCTCCAAATTAATTTCCCTCGGTTGAAGCCATGTCCTGTATGTGACGACGCTGTTGAAGGTTGTTGATATAAAGGGAGGGGCCTCCCTTCTAGACACTTGTGTCGGCTCGCTGGTTATTTCGGTCTATTCAACATCCCTCCAAAAAAAACAATCATGAAGTGGTCCGCAGTCACCACCGGTGTTATTGGCCTTGCTGGGTCCGGTAAGTAGAGCTGTCCAGTCCTAAGAGAAAGTAAAAACGTATGAGCCTAGTACTTACAGTACCGCAGCTCTCGCCCAGCTGGACTCGAGTCCATTCATCGACGCTGACACTGGAATAACCTTTCAGTCTTACACAAGCACGGACGGGATTACTTACCGACTGGCTCTTCCGGCAGAGGCAACCGGCGATGCTGGCTATGATGTGATCCTCCAGGTCGTGGCGCCAGTGGGATTGGGCTGGGCCGGATGGGCATGGGGCGGTGCTATGACATATAACCCCCTGACTCTCGTATGGCACGACGGAGAAAATGTTCAATTCTCTCCCCGCCAAGCTACGTGAGTGAAGCCTCTAATCATATGAACAATTTAGCTCTAAAACAATCTCGGACTGACAAACGTAGGGGATACTATTTACCCGGTGCATACGAGGATGCTAAGTACACGGTACTTAAGGGCACTGGCGTCAACGAGACACACTTCAAATTCACGGCACTCTGCACGGGTTGTGCTAGCTGGACCGACTTTGACGGGAACCCATACATCCTCAACGGTGCTGGGGACACCAACTTCGCGTACGCCTACTCGGCGACCCCAGTTGAGGAGCCGACAAACCCTGACACGGGCTTCAGCATTCACGACAATGTGGGACGATGGATTCACGACCTAGGCGGCGCTCGATCTGACAAGTTCAAGGAGTGGGTGACGACCAACACCATTGCGTAGGTGAAGATAGCTCGAATAGTTAATGAAGTAACTTGGACTTATAATTAGAGCAGTACGGAGCTAGAGCTATAAGATTCGAAGTATTCGTTAGGTATCATGGCGTAGCTTATACTAGACAAGGTGCCCATGGGTCATGGCTTGTTGGGTTTGGGAGGAAATGAATAGAGAAAATATATATCCAAAAGATGAAGAGTCCGTTATTGTATGAAGAGTGCGAATGATGCGATAGCTAGCGCTAATGATTGATTTAGAGATGAGATTAGAGTCATTTAGAGATGATATATTAGGGAGTCTCATCATGGCGTATTGGTTGATGTAAGGGGGTACTTACCCGTACAATATAATAAGGGGTATTTCACTTGTAAGATATTATGTACTTAGGGAATAGACGAGGGGTTTCCTTCGATGTTGGCTAGAATTTCTTTTTTAGCGGGTACGGACAGGTACAAGGTACATGGTACATGGAGGTACTTACGATGAATTATTTTTTGGTTTGGCGCATCGAAAATGTACATCGTCATTCTTCATAGCTTCAACATTCAAATGTTTCTTCGACATAGATGTTGCTACCGATGTCTAATGTTCCTCGCCTTCTTCTCGCTTTAGATTGAGCGGTAGAGATGCCACAACACCTTAATGTAAATACTCAATAGTCATCATGGCTCCTACAAGGAAATCAAAAACAAATCAACCTCCATCACCATCCCGAACCTTGGTTCTCGACAATGGCGCCTACACCATAAAGGCTGGATATGTGGCGGGTGACGTCGTAGATGAGCCTCGCATAATACCGAATTGCGTCGCCCGAGATCGCAACAAGAAGATTTACATTGCTTCCGATATTAATAAATGCACTGACTTCAGCGAGATCGCTTTTAGGCGACCTGTTGAGAAAGGCTTCGTCGTGAACTGGGAGATTGAGAAAGAGATATGGGAACACGAATTCTTTGATGATAAGGCTCCTCAACCCTGCGATCCCTCCGAGACTCGGTTATTACTTACCGAACCGTCAAACTCCCTCCCTATACTACAGACAAATTGCGACCAGATGGTATTCGAGGAGTTTGGGTTTGCCAGCTACTACCGGGGAATTGGTATGTCGCGGTCGTCTTCTATAAGCCGTTGAAGATGGTCCGTAGCTGATAACCATTGTCCCAGGTCCGTCTCTTAATGCCTATCACGACGTGCAAGGTATCCTTCGAACACCACGAGACCCCGGGACCCTTGCTCAGCTTCCCGCCGAGATTTTGCTCCTCATCGACACTGGGTATTCCCATACTACCGTTACGCCCCTTCTCCAGGGCAGGCCCATCCATCCTGCTATCCGAAGATTAGATGTTGGAGGTAAACTCTTAACTAATTACTTGACGCGGTTGCTTTCGCTTCGTCATTACGACATGCGTAACGAGACGTACATTGTCAACGAGATGAAGGAGGCTGCCTGCTATGTATCCCTCGACTATAAAGGAGACCATGAACGTACCTGGAAGGGCACAAGAGGCGAACGTCGGGACACCTATCTTAATGGTGGAGGAATAGCTAAAGATTACGTGCTCCCTGATTTCCATACGATAACCAAGGGTATTCTCCGGGATTTCGATCCTCTTCGTGCCTCAAAGGCTCGAAAACTGGCGGCTGGGCGTGCTGGAGAGTCTACTGAGGATGTGTTAACTCTCCGGAACGAACGCTTCTCTGTTCCGGAATTGCTATTCCATCCTTCAGATATTGGCATCCGCCAGCCAGGTATTGCGGATCTCGTCATGCAATCCCTACGCGTTCTACCCGTCGGATTGTGGCCTGGTCTCCTTGCTAATATCATCGTTGTCGGCGGAAACTCTCTTTTTGACGGATTTGTTGAACGACTACAAAAAGAAATCGTGCAGCTCGCTCCCGATGAGTGCTTCGTCCGGGTTGCTCGCCCTGTAGATCCAATAATCAGCACATGGCTAGGCGGTGCTAATCTAGCCAAGCATGAGAACATCAACGCGTTATCCGTTACAAAGCAAGAGTACGAAGAGTTCGGTGCGGCGTGGGTTGCGCGCAAGTTCTCCACCGGCTTGGAGTTATGATTTGCCTCGAGACAGGATTCACTCCTAGAATATTTGAGCCTCACGCGCTGATTTACGTCACAGATGACAATATCGAGCAGTCTTGGCTCTAACATATCGCTCACATGCCGAGGCTATTTTGGACCTTTTTAACTAGGTAATTTAACGTATGAAAGATATTAACCCATATGCTATAAGGTCGAACAACCAAGTCGAAATACACATTGGTAGGAGGAACACGCAGTAATAGATTTACTGAATAAAAACTAATTCTGCTCATTTATAACTGAGTTGGGTATCATCTTGGCCCTCGAACTCGATGGGCACGCAAGAGAAACAATTGCAAGGCCGTATGTCATGTCGTTGACCACGCCTTACTGCAACTAATATCAATAATACACGCCCAACCGACCGTACCAAATATAGGAGTGGCAATGGAGTAGAGAAACCGTAACGCCGCCAGTAAACCATGGAACCCTAGGCCACGAACAGTTAAAGATCATCGTCGTAATAAGTAGCAGATTAATCATAATAGAATACTCGATAGTTCATAACGAGTAGGTACTTATACCTCTGAATGGGCCTTGCCGTTAATACATCTCGCGAGATCGGCGACCGCTTCTCCTCGAGCACCCTGTGAATAAATAATTTGTTAGTTAACTCGCGAACCACGTATTGCGGGAATGGAATGATAATCGTACAATCGCACTAGAGTTCAATGTTAGCTTAACTCGAAGGAACTTGTAAGGGTGAGAGACATACCAGTGTGAGCGTAGACCCTTCGTAGTGGATGATGCAGTACCCGCCACCACAGGCTCTGCAAAGCTTTTGAGTATTGGCGATGCAATCTAGACACTGGAATCCGCGAGTAAGTATAATTAGTCCTATACAAGGGGAGAATATAAAAACATACGTTGTGTTCGCACTCCCAACAGCTCCGTTTGATCTTAGGGACCTCGGGATTCTAGAGTCAGCAACGTTAGCAAGGGGACTTCGTAGAGCTTCCACACAACGAGACTCTTTTAAGGAGAAGTATATTTGCGTCTGGGGATTATCGCCGCATACAATTTCCGGGGATGACCGAAAGCAGTTGATATCCACTCTCGCTATCCCTACACGAACTAGGGTCATGGGATAATAGTATATTTCTCGCCTGTACGGCCGCTTCGCAATCGCTCAGGGCGGAAAGGGGTTCCGAACTCCTGGCTTTGCCTCTGCGGATGTTAGGTAGCAATTAGGACAGTAACCCTTCCGTACCTTGACGTTAGACGGCTCAAGAGCTGCCGATTCATGCTCCGCTATGCCGTTGGTCTGACCGACGACGTGCACGAGATGGCCACTTAGCTCTTGACGGCTTGGTACCTGGTAGCAGGCCTCGCACCACCACTGGTCGCAGCTGAAGCAGTACCGCTCGCGAATGCATTCCAGACATCTCGGGATGAACTTATGCGCCCCCTCTGTCCCTTCGCATCTAAAGTCGGGCTTCGGGCAAGTTGCTGCTTTGATAGTCGACGAATGAAGCGGAACAGGTGCTAATAGAGGTAACTCCTCCGACGGAGAGTCCCCGTACACCGTAAAACCCTCCGGTGCGGTTCCGCAGGACGCACATCCGCCGAGTGCGAAGGTAGCAACGTTCCATGGGCTCTCGTTGCCAGATGCTGCTCCGCGCGGCGTAACTGGTACCTTTCCAAAGGCGGATGAATTCTGATGACAAGGACTTGTGCAGAGCACAGCGTCAAATTTGATCACTTGCCGACAATCAAGGAGTGTCTCGGCCCAGCCGTCCGCGATGTGTTTTCCTATGATGCGGCCCTTCTTATGGTACCAATCGTCTCCTTCGCTTTGGATAGACTCGTTCAGCGCATGTTGAGACTTGTGATTCCAACCAATACTAATCTTAGCACCTCTTCGGGCGGTGCCATGCTGTCTAGCTATCAACGGGATAGGTAGCGCGGGAACGTCCTTCGTTCCGAATACGTATAATGCCTTTAGTCGAGGCGTGTCGTCGGGCCGGGTAGATCGACAAGCGTAGCGCAAGCTTTGCATCAGCTTGCGTTCGTTGAGGTTCTTCACATCGCGGATGGAGAGAATGCGCACACGCAAGGTGGGGTCAATAAGGATGTCGTTACAGAACTCGGCGGTAACGGAGAGACCGTCGAGGACGAGGGTTTGGACTTGGTGTAAAATGTCGCGTCGACGGATGCTCCGGAAGATGGTGCGCAGAGGACCCGAGTAGAAATCGTCCTCAGTTATGTTCTCGTCAATCTGGACATCGGGCCAGATCTCATTGCCATGATCGATCTTAACTCGGGTTAGGTCGAGGTGTCGGAAGACGCCGGGGGTGCGGTATAAAAGAAGATCGCGGAATGACGGCGAAGTCGCGGCAAGGTTGAGAATACTCGAGATAGGTAGGTAGGGGATAGTTTGGTGTAGGACGAGGGAGTTGGTGAGTAGGTTTAGTAAGGGATTGGAGTCCGTAAAAGCGTTGTTAGATGAGTCGCGCGCGTGTTGTTGGACGATGGCTCCAGATGCCATTACATGCAGACACAGACCAGCTGCTGGGTAAAAGAAGAAAAAGAGAGAGAGAGAGAGAGAGAGAGAGAGAGAGAGACGATAAGACGACGAGTCAGTGGGAAATAATTATGTTAAGGTTTCGGAATTTAGATTAAATAAAGAAGAGATACGGGAGATAGGTTGGTAGTATATATAAAAAAAAAAAAGGGTAGTGGATTCTAGGGAGTCGAGTAGAGAGTCTCTTGTTTCGCCTTGTCTTGTCTTGTCTTGTCTTGTCTCAAGGTTGAAGATATATGTATGCCGTATACCTAAAGTAGATAGCCCTTGATCTAATAACTATATGTAGATAGACTATGTATAGACTATATGCAGGCAAGTCTACCCAACTTGAATAGGAGACCGCGAGTAAATTGATGTTGAGAGATAAATAGACAGATCTACTTGCTTATTGCTCTACCTTGTACTAAGACAAATATACTGCATATCGAATAAGA